GAGCGGCAGCTACCATTTGTTCCACCATTCTAACCGCTGACGTATGTTATGTTACTTTACTCGTTCTTTCTTAACTACGCTTTGATAAGTGCATGAGGGCGATGGATCTACCTGCCAGTTGACAGCGCCTACGGTGCCTACGAGGTTATTCGGCCGTGATTGGCAAAGTAGTGCTGGTAGAAGCGTGTACCATTTTTCACACTGCGTTACTCCGCCTTCTGGAGTGGGGGAGGGCGGTGGAACTACTACGAATAAATTCAAGAACATCTAAAATAAAAGCCGTGCCAAAGACAGTGCGCTAATGGAGGTCAAGCCATTAGTGAAAGTGGAAGGCGGTTGGTGAATAATCATGGATCCTGCTCGCGTTCCAACTGGAAGCTGCGCTCCAAGATATGGAGTCTCAGCTCGATGCAGCTCGTCATTACTACGATGTATGGCATCGTGGGCTGGCCAAATAGCTCATAAAAAAGGGAAAGAACTCGGGCATCATGCATGCAGTGACTGCGAGGGTTTATTTGCAGCATCTACATTGGCAGCGCGCCAACCCAACCACGCGATGGATGCCGAAGCTGAAGTCACAACTGTGGACAGCCACAAAACTTGTAGCAGAACTGGGAACCACCGGGGTCTTCTTCAACATGCCTCATGCATGTTTCTTTTCACTGATCAGAATTCCATGATGTCCTAGCTGAGCAACTTCTAGGGAGGTCTGACGGCCCCGTACACTAGCTGTTCACATGCACCCTTGTGCGCAACCAGAAGAGACGAGTGCTGCTCCTGGGGCAGATATGAATCTCTGAGTAGTACGTGCTACTAAGTCCTTCCAAAATATTTGAAGAGGTTAAATGCCACGAGGCATTTTTAGGAGCAAGGCCAAATACGCACTGGACAGAATTTACTGACGCAAAGAGACATACGATTTCATGAAATCGCGACATACCATTCTACACCACGATGGCCACAATGCACATTCACTAATGTACTGCGGTGTGCGGACATGAAATAGCAAAAAAGTGGTGATGATACGGCTGATCGATCGATCGTACTGCACAGTGTTTTCTTCGGAAAACTTTACAAAAGCGAAGGTACGATTTTCAGTGTCTAGGCAGAACATCAATATATCATTTTGTGACGATATGATGCCGGGCATTCAAAAAGATCTGAGCTTCACAATCAGGTGAGGTATAGCCAATGATATAACGTGCTCCATTGCCAACCTGCGGCACAGTTGAAAGAACCCCAATATACTGTGTTCATTCAGAAATTGAATTTTTTTTCATCTATCTCTTCATGTTCTTGTTATCAACTTCTTGTTTCTTGATCCTTGTCAGCTCATTCTGTTATGTTTCACTTTGTAGAGGGCGCATCAGCTAAGGGGGGGGGGAGGAAGTTTTTGAAGAGCCCCAAGGAGGTGTTCACCAATATAGAAGGTTGTATGGACACTTCCTTCGAAGGGATCGTACCGATGGCGGCTGCTCCTCAGCGTGATGATTGACCCTAGTCGCATTTGGATAGTAATGCTCCGATTAGGATGTAATAGGTTTTGTTCACTCCATCGATTTCTCTGAAAAACGTGGACTGTTAATGATCGGATCTTTTCGAATGAATATTGCGATGTATCGTGGTGTTCTAGATGCTTTATTATGCTGTCTGTTTTGGTTGTGTTCTAGATGCTTTATTATGCTGTCTGTTTTGGTTGACTTTCGGAGATTATTCCAAATGCTGGACCTGCTATTCATAGCATCGTTTGCTTGGAGGATCTTTTTTCCTGCTGATGTAGTGAATGAAGCATGAAGTTGGCAGGGGCGAGCAGTGAACTCGTCCATGTGATCTTCATCATGCTGTAAAGCTTGTACATCGTGCAGAATAAGCATGAGAAAAGGCGCCATACCGCCGGTTTTTAGCCAATTTTTTTACTTCCACTGCTGATGCACTTATTAATATCTCCACTTTACTTTTCCAGAGGCGTCCGAAATAAAGTGTTCATCTTTTGGGCTCCGAACAGCTCTTGCACGAGAGAAACATTTGTAACAATCGCTTTATAAAACTGGAAATGTTCGAAAAAATAGGTCAGTAACTGACCAGATCACTATACAATATTGCACACAATGAAGAAGCTTAATGTTCACGAACTCCCTATCAATTAGTACATATACGCTGAAAGCATGCTGGGAGGGACATAATACGCCGGCGGACGCGGATCGCAAATGCCGTCACATAAAATACACAAAATGAAATGTAGCAGTATAACGCTACAAATCAGTTCATTTTAATATTATTCAGCAAGATTAATAGTAACAAATTACAATAAAAGAAAAGTAAAATAAATAAGATTAGAGAATGGCAGAGCACACACACCGGATGGTGACGCAGGAACATTGTTGTTACGGATAAAGATCGAGACACGAGTTGGAAACAAGATTGAGAATAAAAGCACGTCCCTTGTAAATGACAGAGACAAAGGAAAATTCGATAAAGAAAAAGGGAGATAATTAAGCGTATGCTGCTGAGAATTTCAGTGCCTACCAGTCGCGATTTACAGAGTCGCTGCATATGCGGTAACCCCAAGGAGACTGCCCTAGCACTCGTTACGGCAGGTTACTGTAGCACCTTGACGGCGGGCAACGTCAGCGACGGCGGCGATTACCATATCACTTTGCCCAATCGTTTCTTCTTCAGAATTCGGTCGCCATGATATTTCGACATATTCTGAGAAAACAAGTTATTTAGTTGGATCACTAAAGTTGGATTAAAGTAAACATCTTGAAAAGACCAGCCGGGCCAACTAGGGCAAAAAACATATATGCACGATAAAAGCAAGGCGGCGGAGAGATAGAGGAGACGTTTGGCTGCGTGGCTTCAAATCACGACGAGATCTGTTGGGTGAATGGTATCTTCAGGTAAAAATCTTACCTGCGAGCATAAACCCCAATCTAACAGTCAGAACGAATTCCTCGCTCTCATGCGTAGCTCACAGCTACAGAATTCAGGCCAGCGAGACACAATACCTCATGCAGAGAAGGACGATAAGTTTTTGATCACGCAGCTCATTCGTGACTGCCTCCTGCTGAGATCAAACCGTCCATGGAACTCGTAAACTCACCAGCCATCGCAGAAAAGAAGATTGCTGAAATAACCGTAAAATGAATAATTGTGACATACCTAGTCCAATGATATTTTTGTTCACTTACAATCAATTGCGCCTCCAATCCGTCACAAAGTAATCGGCCACTGGAGCACAGTAATGCCGACCACTCAAAGATAGACCCGTCATAGCCAATATGCGTTTTTTCAGGCTCTGAATTCTCCTTCGGTCATGCTGTATGATCACCCCTCCATAACGATAGTTGTGCCAGACTCTGTACTCTATGACCTTGTTCTTGTCCAGGAATTTCGTCATGTCTGTATCTCGCAACAGCAGTACAACCATTTGGTTCGGACGCTGCGATAGCCTCGCTATCAATCAGTTACTGGCAATCGCCAATATGTGCTGTGATAGCGTTGTTCACCGACGGATGCTTCCACTACGGGTTATCCCAGTCAGCGGTATGCACAATGCGGAGCATGTCCTGAATAGAGTACCATGGTGCAGACGCTCACTATGCAACAATTTTTGTAAAGAAGCGAGGGTCAGTAAGGCTGTGCTATTATTTCTAGTAGCCAGCACAAAATTTTAAAACCCAATCACGATCATCTGCTAAGTGCAGTTGTTATCGCGCAGCTGCCCTGCGAACATGTAAAGGTTGGGTTGGCGCCGGCGCCAGCCGGTTCTCCACCATTTGTGAGAGAGTAAAGTGACACCGCGCGCGAATAGGGGTGGCGCGCGCACACCAACATCTGCGCCCGCCAAAGTAAGCCGCAGCGGACAAAACTTTAGCATACATTCCTTGTAATAAACTGTCAGGTGAGCAATCTCAGTTTTGCAGCTCTAAAGCAAGTCACGAATCCGAAAAGGTATTCTCCAGCATTAGTAGCCGCACGCAGAGATGAACGCAATAGCGATTGTGGTTGAACATTGCATGCTGATTCCACTCGTCTTCTGATTCTCCCATCTCTACGGCATTGCACCCGCACCAAGCAATGTTTCTCCGTCTCTTTCGCGCACACCATTCTCATGCTCAAAATGAACCGCAAAAATCACAGCCTAACTTGCTGCTTCTTCGACACGTTTTCTCCACATTTAGTTAAGGTGGCTGAGGCTCAATAAACGGCTCTAATAATGGGCCCTACTTAGCACGCTGGGCATTCATAGAACGTGCTTTACAGAGTCCTATTGGAAACAATCACTATGGAGAATTATCAGAAGGACTACTTCTGTGGCGAAGTCCGCCACAGCCACTGCGCTATGGATACAGCAAGTACAAGCTCAAAATGATTGCTTTTTTGCAGTTCTTAACGGTACCTGAACATCACTGGACAGCATAGCTCTGAAAGTAGTTGTGAAGCCGGCCATTCGAGACTGGCGATAGCACTGAAGATCAGCACCACGCATTCCATGCATATTGCCATCGTATGGGTCATTTAATGCGATCAGATGGAATCTGAAACCTTCAAGTAAGTGTGGTCATTTGAAGATACAACCTAATGAAAGTTACCATTCTGTCTCGATGCGCTACTGTAAGGTACTCTGGTGGTGGTCTCGGCTGGAATTGTGGTGGTGGTATTGGAGTATCTTGCGGATAGGCTGGAGCTGGTGGTGGAAGTTGCTGATCCATGGGATACGGTGGTGGAGGCGGAGGTCGAGCTGGTTCCGGAAGCTCCCGTCTAACCGATGGCGGACCTGTTCGTGTTTCCGGTCGAGCCGTTTCCTTAATGAGATGTTGTGAGAGTGGTGTGAATACACAATTCACCGGGTACCGTATCCCACTAAAGGTAGCGGCTACACGCGGAAATGAGTAAAAACACATCACGCACGGTCGGCGAGCGGGTACGAGATACGGTACGACTTTATGGGAACTGAATATGATAAATGTGCGTGGCTGGCAAATCTAGCACAACGAGTAAGTGATTGACAAAGGGACGCTACGTTGATAATGATGATGGGCAGCTACGCTGCGTAGCAACCCCTAGTCATATCACACTACAAACATTGTCCCTTTTCTTGTCTTTCTACGTAATCACAAGGACGAGTGAGTGCCGGCGGAAAGCCAACCGAAAAATTAGACACACACTCTACATACGGTATCTGTCCATCGGACGGTCTTACTGTAGTTGAGAAAGGCCACGCGACGCTGCAACGGAATGATCCTTTCCCTTTCCGGAGGCTCAGCCTCAGAAGAGCAGAGGCGACTAGAGTCTCCGCGCAGCCCTTTTAGAGGGCGCAGGGAAGCGGATTCCGCCACGCCACCGCACTGCTCTCCCCAACTACACTAACCACCTTCAAACTGCAGTATTCTGCGGAATTTTCTAGCGTATTTTGTAAAATCTCCAATGACCGACGATGGAATACCGTATGCGGAACTAGTGGTATTTCTCACAATTACCGTAATCGATCGACGTATGCAGGGTCGATGTCGTGACATGGTCTCACGATCTCGCTAAGAACAACCAAATATTGATTGAAAAAGTCTTCAGATTGTAGCACTTATCAGTTGCCATAATTATATAGGGACACAACATTTTCACAAAGCCACAGTGATTGGAGTGATTCACTGCACCATGACCTACAAGGGCGGAATTCACGAAGGACAGTCATTATTACTGCAAACGAGGGGGCGTGCGAGAAGGCGTGGATTGGAGCAGAGCTAGGGCAGCCTTTTCCACCAATTGCTGCGCACTCAAGACGGTATCGATTGGTGGGAAGAAGCTTGCTCTAGCTGTCCTCCAATCATAGCCTTCCCGCACCCCCTCTCATTTTGAGGGATGATGACACTGTAGGGCGTCAAACCGGGCGCAGTGCTCCAGTTGCGGCGCTGCAAGCTCCAGTTGCGGCACGCGAAGCATGCCAAGTCGAGCACTTCGTGAATCACGCCCCGAGATGCATTGAAACCCTCGTCCGGCAGGTGTACATGAGTGCACTGTAGTGTGACAGTGACGCGTGCCGGACTGACTATACACAACATCTGCTCTCACCCAGTATTCCAAATGATTCGACTGCAAGTCGGGCTCAGAAACTATCGGCTAAAATTGCAGAGTGCATCGAAAGGATTCAAGAACGGGATAGATCAAGACATGATTATGACAGATGAGACCAGAAGCCCGGGTTTTCCAATGGTGAATTAAGCACTTCTTTCGCGGTTTCTTCATTTCTGGGAGGAACCTACACCCTAAAAGTCTAAAGAGCGAAATTCGCAGAGAATTATCCCGAAGTATT